ATTGGTAGTCATATTAACTTTCTAACAATTCCAAGGAAGCTATTATTGCAGTGATAAGAGATATTTCTTTCTACATTTTGGAAAGTGGGAAATTAAGCACTCAAAACATTAAAATGAAATTATAAGGTACATCTGCAAGTATAGTACATAGAAATTTAGCCTCATGACTCCTGTTAATGGAAATACAGTTTAATCCCTACTGTGCCATATTTACTCTACCTCAGAGTGTTTAACATACCATCTCAAATTCCTCTCTTAACAAGAAAGACCTTTAAAAGCACTTCTTTATGGTTTTATTTAATATGATATAACCTTGTTTGTTTAAATAATAAAACTCCACTAAGAAACCTTCTATTTTCCCTTCTGTCTCTCTCAAGATTCCCCTAATCATTCCCTTCACTATTATGAAAGTCACCCTCATAAGAAAATTCACCTCTATTTCTAAGTCATCCACTGAACTAAGAAGACAGAGAGAGAAAAGTGAAAAGCGAAGGGCCCCAAAAGTAGCTTGCAAGATAGAGATGGAACTCAAGGTTTCCTCTGGAAAGGGAGTATCTCATGAATTCCAAATGAGGCTCAAAACAAGAAGTTGATAAAAATCTGGTATGATTTTAACTCTAGAGGCTATAAGACCTCAGGCATCTAAACATTTCTGAAACTTACTTTCTCTTCTATCAAATGGAATGATGATGGAGTATTTAATACCTATTTTAGTGGAGTTTTATGAGAAACAAGTGGGATGGCTTTGAAATCATTTTGGAAACTGGCTGAAACTGATAAGACTTTAAATATCATATTGTAAAACTCTATTTTTAGAAAACATATTGATAATGAAATTTTAAGGTGGTGAAAGGATAATGAGCAGTATGGATTCAATTTTCCTAATTTACCCTTCATAGTCATATTTTTTGTATGTTTGTTTGTTTTTGTGTTTGTACTATGGATTGAACTCGGGGTACTTGACCACTGAGCCACATCACCAGCCCTATTTTGTATTTTACTTAGAGACAGGGTCTCACTGAGTTGCTTAGTGCCTCACTTTTCCTGAGGCTGACTTTAAACTCTCAATCCTCCTGCCTTAGTCTCCCAAGTTACTGGGATTATAGGCGTATGCCATGGTACCCAGCATAGTCTTATTTTTTTACCATCCCTCTAAGATACTGTCTCAAGCAACCTCCATGTAAAACACAATATACCTCAAGGAATAGTAGCAGCTTATATTTGTAAATGTGTCAATAGGATGTAGATATTTTTATTATTGAGCCATTGTTTTCAGTTATGATTTTCATTTTAAGTTAAATGGGTATTTGAGTTAGAATCTTCATATTCTGTTTCATTCAAGATATCAGACAAATCCATATTGTTTCCCTCTTCAGGGACAAAATTGTTCATAAGTCTTTAAGAATTCTGATATTGTATCTAGTATTCCCATCCATCTCTGTACTGAATTCTTTTGACTCATGGTCCAGTCATATCATGGGCACTTTGATTCATGGGTACTGAGTATATATATTAGTGATATTGAGAGTTTTAGTTTTAGTTAAATATGGTCTGTCATGCAATAAGCCTAATGAATGTAGTTACTGGGAGTATCTAAAAGTTAAAACAATAAATACCCTCAAGTTACGTTGAAATATGATTTTATGACTTTTTATTATCTAAATCTACAATAATCTTCGTAATTTCATAGATTCAGTATAGCTTTTACCTAAGTTGAAGGCAACTAAATTGGTGGAACTTTGCTTAATACTAATAGCTTTTTCTTTTTCTGCTTCAACAACTTAAGAGTATCACTAAGACTAAATATAATTAGAATTTTCTCTTCCTGGAGTAGATGATTTCTGTTCACTAAAGACAGCAGCAAGGGTATGTGGTAGTTCACTATATTTTTTAATTTTACATCCAAAATATTATCTTCTCAGAGTTATTTTTTTCCTTAGCCATGTATCCTACCAATTTCATCTACCTATCCTACCTTATTTCATCTTGGAAGCTAATATAGTAATTCTGCTGTTTCAGCCACATAGAAAGGTTATCAAAG